AAAAAAAAAGTCATCTGGGGTTAAGAAAAAAACAAATACTTGTTCCACATCATGTGACGCAAAATTGGCTTTTGCACCATGTGGCTTAATAGTGATATTCTGATAAATTCTGCTTAACAGCAGAAAAAAATACACTTATGGATAGTTTTTAAAATCTGCCTATAGGTGACGATAAGGTAGCCCACATTAAGCAAAACGCCTATTTTACAGTGAAATTTATAGTTTCCAGATCACCTTTTTCTATCTCTCTGGGCACCCATTCCCTAATTTAGGCAATCAATGCTGTTTATTTTTTCCTTTATTGATTTTAGAGAGAGAGAGGAAGTAAGAGAGATAGAGAGAGAGAAACATCGATGAGAGAAAACATCGACTGCTGCCTCCTGCATGCCCCCGACTGGGGACGGAACCCACAACCTGGGCATGTGTACTGACCGGGAATCGAACCAGCAACCTCTTGGTGCATGGGTTGACGCTCAACCACTGAGCCACCAGCCGGACAATCAATGCTGTTTAGTTTTTTAACAACCTCCTCAGATTTAAAGAGAAAGAGATCTAACTCCAATTATTTATATTATTCACATTTGTGTATATATGACTTCTGATGTTGCATTTTAAAGTCTCTTATTGTAAGTGAAAACATCACATCCTTGTTTAAAATTTAAAAAATATAACCAAACAACTAGAATCTGAACAACAACAACAACAAAACAATCTGAGAACAGAAAACATAAATGGATAAGGAGTAACATGTTTGTTCAAATTTATTTTGATTTTAATGGTGTTATTCCTACCAAGAAAAATCCAGGATAAGCAATAAACAGATTATTTTGGAATTAAGAAAGCTAGGAAGTATATAAAAAAAGAAAACAGCAAAAGAACCCCAAACAAAACCAGTCTTTCTTTCCTATCCCCCAGGATGTCCTGATGGCCTAGAACAATATATGAGGAGACTTAGTCAATCTATGGCTGATAGAGACTTACTCCTGGGAGTTGCTAAGGACATGCAAATCCTCAAAACTATCCTGACACTAAGACACCTCTGTTCTTTCTTGCCCCTTTCATTTGCCCGCCCACCCATGTTTTCCCATATGAGCATAGGTCCTTCCCTTTTCCTAATACTGGTTAGACAATGAGCTCTATTCAATTTCTGGGAAGGAAAGTCTATCTCTTCACTTCTCCCAAGACTCCTAGGAGATTATATAATATATACACACACACACATACATATATATATGTGTGTGTGTATATATATATGTATATATGTATGTATATATGTATATGTATATGTGTGAGTGTGTGTGTGAATAAACAATTGAGCATAATTTGTACATTGTATTAACTAAATATTTTGGGGTATGATTCTAAATCATAACTAAGCTCTGCTAATCTAAAACAAAATTTGATGTCTGATGATAAAGTTTCTATGAGAAATATATTTCTGAGAAGCTTCTATTTTATTAATAGAAGTATCTTTTGGTATCGAACTAACCATTCCTTATGTTCTGTCTACTATTTGGTTCTAATTTCTAAATCAGGGTCCTTAAACTTCATAATTTAGCAATGTAAGTCACACAGCAAAATCAATTATAATTTTATAGTCATCCCTCACACATCAAAAACCCAAACTGCAATAGCCCTGGCCAGTTTGGCTCAGCGGTTGGACCACTGGCCTGCGGACCAGAGAGCCCCGGGTTTGGTTTCCACTAGGCCCTAGCGGCTAGGAGCACGTACAAAAAAACCCCCAAACTACAATATTTAAGTTTAAAAATTTAAGTTTCAAGTTATTCCAACTCTGTACTTATATTTGTAAAACTCTGATGGTTTACACATATGATGATTTACAAATATGCTACCTATTTATTCTCAAAGGATATGTAATTTGAGTAGTTTCCCTCTTGAATCGAGGGCTTTTGTGGTAACTTTGATCTTCCTTGGGACTAACTGCTCATTTAGTAATTTAGCTCCCATGGGTTGAGATCTTTGACTAGGAAATAGAGTAAAGATAAATGGCTTATAAAGTGATAAAATCTATCCAAAGCATCATGCTTTGATATAAATACCTACACACATTTACATGAAACGCTTTTAAAAAGGAAATCTACATTTAAAAAATCTAAAGTTAGTACAGAATATTCAATAAATGTTTTGCTGTTGTTTATGCAAAAGACATAGTATTAAAATATTAACTATTTAAAAATGTAAGTCATAGGTAAGTTATCCATTTAATCACTTAGAAAATCTTACATGATCTAATGATTTAAAAACAAATTAATTTCTATTAATACAAATCTACTTAACCCAAATGAGTATATATTTATCTTTGCTCTTTGCCCTTTGAAAATTTGTATAGGTACTTCCAGTCAAGATGGCGGCATAGGTAAACACGGTATAGCGTCCTCCCACAACCACATCAAAGTTACAACTAAACTACAGAACAACCATAATTCAAAACCGCCTGAAATCAAGCTGAATGGAAGTCCTACAACTACGGAATTAAAGCAGCAGCCACATGGGAGGAGGGGCGGAGGCACGAGGGGCAGCGGCCGGTGGACGGGCTGGTCCCACACCCAAGTGTGGCAGATAAAAATCAAAAGGATACTTTGACTGGGAAGGTCCTTCCTGAGGACTGAGGGGTCCCCATCCCACACCAGGTGCCCCGCTCAGGGTTCCAGTGCCAGGAAGAGAGTCCCCATCACTTCTGGCTGGAAAAACCAGCGGGAACTGAGGCTCAGGGATGCTGACGCGGCTGGAGCCTCAGGCAGCTCCTTAAAGGGCCCGCGCTCGGACTTATCGGACTCTCTCCCTCTAAGCTTGGAGGGGAGGCAGCTCGAGGGGCACCAGAGACATACAGGGAAGAACTGAGCTGTTTGGCACTGGAGCGGGGGCTGGAGAGGGGGCTTTCTCCGGGACATACGTGCTGTCAGAGGCCTTTGTTCCTTTGGTGAGCCCTTCCCTGGGGCAGCAGACAGCCGCCATATCTGGGACTCCAGCAACCTGGCTCATACTGGTAGCCCCGCCCTGGTGACTCCCTGAGGCCCCGCCCCACCCAACTTTCAAGCCCGCCCAAGCTGTTGCCAGTTGCTTAACCATAGGATTGGCCTGTCTTGGATCCTGCTTCAGGTTTTTCCTAAATTCTTTCAGACAAGCAGCATCTGGTTTCAGCTAGCCCCATACCACTCGTTAAGTAATACACAGAAACAAACACAGGGAGGCAACCAAAATGAGGAGACAAAGAAACAGGTCCCAAATGAAAGAACAGAACAAAACCCCAAGAAAAGAACTAAGCAAAATGGAGATAAGCAACCTAACAGATGCTGAGTTCAAAATACTGCTTATAAGGATACTCAATGAACTCAGTGAGAACCTCAGTGAACTTAGTGAGGGCCTCAAGAGCATAAAAAAGGACCAGTCAGAATTAAAGGAGGCATTAACTGAAATAAAGAATAATTTACACAGCTTCAATACTAGAGTACATAAATCCAAGAAGCAAACCATCGATTTGGAATATAAGGAAGCAAAAAACGGCCAATCAGAACAGCAAAAAGAAAAAAGAATCCAAAAAAATGAGGATAGTGTAAGGAGCCTCTGGGACAACTTCAAGCGTGCCAACATTCGCATCTTGGGGGTGCCAGAAGGAGAAGAACGAGAACAAGAAATCAAAAACCTGTTTGAAACAATAATGGCAGAAAACTTTCCTAACTTGGTGAAGGAAACAGACATACAAGTCCAGGAAGCACAGAGAGTCCCAAACAAGATGAACCCCAAGAGGCCCACACCAAGACACATCATCATCAAAATGCAAAAGGTTCAAGACAAAGAGAGAATCTTTTTTTTTTTTTTTTTTTATCCTCACCTGAGGACATTTTTCCATTTTTTGTTCAGATAGAGAGGGAGGGAGAGAGAGGAAGAGAGAGAGAGAGAGAAACATCGATGTGAAGGGACACATCGAGTGGCTGCCACCCGCACGACCAACCAGGGCTGGGAACAAATTGCAACCGAGGTACGTGCCCTTAGCGGGAACCGAACCCGGGTCTCTCTGTACCGCAGGCCGACGCTCCAAACGCTGAGCCAAACCGGCCAGGGCCAAAGAGAGAATCTTAAAAGCAGCAAGAGAAAGGCAGCTAGTTACCTACAAGGGAGTTCCCATTAGGCTCTCAGCTGATTTCTCAAAAGAAACTTTGCAGGCCAGAAGGGAGTGGCAAGAAATATTCAGAGTGATGGAAAGCAAGAACCTACAACCAAGATTACTCTATCCTGCAAAGCTGTCATTTAGAATCAATGGCCATATAAAGACTTTCCCAGACAAGAAGAAGTTTAAGGAGTTCATCACCACCAAACCGTTATTATATGAAATGAGGAAGGGTCTTTTTGAAGAAAAAGATAAAATGTATGAACAAACAAAATGGCAATGAATACATATCTATTGACAATGGAATCTACAAACAAAATGAATAGGCAGAACAGAAACATTCTCATAGATAGAGCCAACATTTTGTTGGTTGCCAGATGGGAGGGGGTTGGGAGAATGGGTGAAAAAGGTGAAGGGATTAAGAAGTACAAATTCACTGCTAGACTGACAAACCTCAAAGGGAAAGGGGTTGGGGGGTGGGAAGAAATAAACCAAAGAACTTATATGCATAACCAATGGACACAGACAATAGTGTGGGAAAAGGCGGGGGGGTGGGGGGGGAAGGGGTCAATAGGGGAAAAATGTGGAACATCTGTAATACATTCTACATTCAACAATAAAGATTAAAAAAAAAATTGTATAGAAGCATTTTAGGCAATCAGTAATCTTAGTGCTTCTAGAACGTCATTTTTAGAGACTTATTCAGTGAAAATAACTATTCAAATAATATTTTCATATTAAAAATTCAACATAATAATTTTGAGCCAACCATTTTCATTATTGATTAAAAATTTAATATTGAAATATTCACACTGTCCTGAGCTAGTACTTTATGTTGGCTGTATATTGAGTATTAATGTAGAATTCTTACCTGTAATGTACATGTGTGACTGTTGGTTTCCTGTATCCAAGGATCCAGGTTTGAATATCTATGGGTTCAGCTTTGGGATAAGCTATGGTTGTATCTATTATCCACTGGAGGCCTTTTGGTTTGCTGTCTGAGAACAAAGAAAAAAACAACTTAGAAGTTGATCAATCTTTCTGTTATTTACAACAAATAACATGGTATAGGTTACTTGAGGAGTATAAAATATATTGATATACCTTTTGCCTTAAAAAAACAGGATGAATTTTGGTATTACTGTTCTATACTATTATATAATATAATAGGAAATTAAGCATTTCCTATTATATTATAAAATAGATGAATTTCAAGCAAATTAACAAATAACAGCACTATTATTTATTGGATATGTATCATTCAAGTATTTACTACAAGTATGTACTATCAAGATCTAATTTCTATTTTCTCATGCATAAAAAATGGCCTATGAAAAGGTCAGAAGTTCAAGTATCACATCACAAAAATGAAAAACAGACCTCAAAACCAAACAAAACCATTCATTAAATATAACACAATACAGTATGGACACCAAGGTGTGTGACATCTGGGAGACATTAATAAATACTCTAGAATAAGGAAATAAAAGTAAACTTTTTTTTGAGAATTCTACCACTGAACCACCAATGCTACTTTTTTTTGACACACATAATCATCAGCTTGCTGGTCTTGTTTGAAACAAAATAAAAAATCTCCTCCTACAGTAGCAAGAGTTACATACAAATAAAGCAATAAATTTGTTTGCCCTTGGTCAGTAGAAGAGGTAACTACTGTTGTGAGAGAGAATGAGGAAGTGCTGTTTCTACTGCCAGCATGAAGTACAAAGTTGAGCAAGAAGTGCAAAGGGAATCTCACAGAGAATGCTGATAGCCAGATTTTAACATGTAATCGTCTATCCTTATCTGGGGTATTTAAGATCCCTAAAGAATAAAACTTATTCTCAAACATAAGTCCAAATGTGCATTAGGAAATCAATGATATTTTACTCTTGTATGTCAAATAATTACAAACTGACTTTATTATTTTTTTTATTAGTACATTTTTATAAAGTTTCTTTCTTTATTTTTTTTATCCTCACCCAAGGACATTTTTTGCATTTATCTTCAGATACAGCAAGGGGGGGGGGGGGGGAGAGAAACATCAATATGAGAGAGACACACTGACTGGTTGCCACCCACATGACCCCAACCAGGGCCAGGGACAAATGACAACCAAGGTACGTGCCCTTAGTGGGAACCAAACCCAAGGACTCTGTGGTCTGCGGGCCGACGCTCTAACTGCTGAACCAAACCGGCCAGGGACAAACTGACTTTAAATGCTTAAAAAATGTTAGACAACGTCGTAAAAGGGAGAAAAATGCCCATTAAAGAAATATAGTAAAAAATGTTTTTAAATAACATACTGCTAAAGGAACAGAGTTTATGTAACAAAACACATTTTGACAAGCTACCCATGATGTACATGCTGAAATGTTGAGGTATAAAGTATACTGATGTCTTCAACTAACTTTGACATGCATTAAAAAAAAAGATGGGCTAATGAATAGATAGCAGGATGAAGAGAAGAGAGCTATGATAAAGCAAATTACAGTCAAATGTTTATTACAGAATCTAGTTGGTCAGCTCATGAAGATTAACTGTAAAATTTTTTTAACTTTTACCTATGTTTGAAAAATTTTATAATAAAACCATGGGGTAAAAATCACCAGAGTTATTTAATATCCATTAAGTCATACAATATACAAAGAAAACCCAATCATTTCAAGTTAATCAGATACAACTTAATTTTCATATTTGTATCGATTACATATTAAAACAGACACAAAGAGCCCTGGTCAGTTTGGTTCAGTGGTTAGAGCATCAGCCCGTGGACCAAAGAGTTGCAGGTTTGACCCCAGTCAAGGGCTTGCACCTTGGTTGAGGTTCCTCCTTGGTCCTGGTTGCGGTGGTGTGGGAGGCACCCAATCGATGTATCCCTCTCACGTTGATGTTTCTCTATTTCTCCCTCTCTTTTCCCCTGACTCTATCTGAAGATAAATAGAAAAAATTATCCTCAGGTGATGATTTAAAAAAAAAAAAAAAGACACAAAGACATGGTATTTTTGTATGGGATAAAACACTAAATAATTAATATGAACAGTAAATAAAATAAAATAAAATAAAATACATAATACCAAAGTATAGAGGGAAACAAGGTAAAATAAAAGTAAAACTAGTTTTCAGGTATATAACTTTCTAAAATTTCTTATGAGTCTTCCTAAACAGTTACAATAAAACTTTTATCTAAGAAAAATGACAAACTACTTTGTTTTGGTTATAAGCAGAAGTGTCTCGTTCCCAAGGAAAAAAGCATTTTTTTCACCATTGTGTAATCACTATGACAACTGTCCCTACATTTGAGAGCTACAACATCACATGGAATTAACTGGGTAAAACTATTTAAAAACAGCTGCCGCAATTAGTGCAACAAAACCTATTTGGAACTCCTTTGCTTTCAAGCTTTGTCTTGGCTGACATTGCCACAGTGTATAACAGCAAAGCTATTCTGAACTTTCCTTTTCTATTAAAAGACTCTTTCAATTTGTCTTCTTAATAGATGATGAAAGATTAAGAGAGCTGACTGCCAAGTAGCTGCTTAGAAAAAAACAAATAAAAGGAAAACTCAGTGTAATCTCACAGGCCTTATTTCTATGTCTCATCCTTATTGTCATTTAAAAATACATATTTCTGAGGGCCTATCATTTCTACTTTTATTTTGTCTAAAGAATATTTTTTAAAATAGCAAAATGCTACTAAGGAAAAAGGCCTAGTGAGTTTCTTTCAGCTTCTATCATCAGCTGTCTTAAATTTGCTCATAACATTCTTCATGCTGTTGGCACAAACACTGTCTGCAAATATTCAGAATTTACTAGACTATCTCCAAGATAATGCAGTTGCATCTTTGAGTATGGTTTACATTTTCCTGGCCATAAAAGTAATACTCACTCTTTTTTTTTTTTTTAATGCAGAAAAGCATTAAGACTTGAGGAAAAAAATCATAATGTTACAGCTCAGAGAAGCAATGTCATGGCTAACATTCCTTTCACTCATTGCTACTGCTTTATTGTTTATATCTTTGGGCTCAGACTGTTTTCACCAGAGTTGTAAGTTCCCCCCATTCCATTAACATTAGAGAGCATAAGTATTTTTCTAAGCCAAAAAATATTCTCCACCAACCTCATTTGTAATGGCTGCGTTTGTATTCTGTTTTGTGGATATTTTATAATTACCTATCTCGCCTTCTTTCTGGCTATTTCCAATTTTTGGCTATTATAAATAATACTGTGAAAAAACTTCTTTGCCAATATTTCAGATGATTTCCTTTTGATAAGTATTTTTTGCAGTGGAACAACTGAGTCATTTATTTTAAGGTTCTTAAATACTGCCAAACTGTATGAAATGCATTCTTTGTGTTAAAGACGAACAAAAAAGCTTTCTAAATTTGGTAAGTGAAAAAAACAACATTTCATTACTACTTTTATTTGCATATCTATGATTAGTTTCACAAATCAGTCACTTCTCTCCCTGTGTCCTTTAACTAGCTATTCTACTTCTGGGAATCCACGCCACAGAAATACTGCCACAAAAATGTAGCTATATTTACAGGAACTTTTACTGTAGCAGTGAGAATCCCCAGAAGTAAGAATAGGTAGGGTAGGAGACACCTTTGATTTCATGCATTTCTGTATTATTTGAATAAATTATTGTAAGCATGAACTACCTTTGTAACTAGAAACATTTAAAATTGTATTTCATTTTCTCTTTGAGTATTATTTCTACTTGACAAAAATTATAAATACAGAAAAGAACAGCAGTTATTTCTGGAACTCCAGAAAATCCTTAATTCCAACAAAGGAGAAAAAAAAACGCTAAAAACCATCATACCAAATTCTCTAGCATCTCCTCCTGCTGGACTTCCATTTTCCTGTCGTGCCACAAGTACATTCAAAATAATTTTTGTTGCTCCAATCCTTGGCAGAGTGACATGTGTAAGAAATGGCAAGTTATTTTTCTTGGCAAATGTCTGACTTGTTTCTCGTCTCTTCCTGAGGAAGCCCCCTTCTGGAAATAAAACAATCCATTTTCGATCTCTGCTCCTGTAATTTTTTTCTAGGTGTTTCTTGAGAAGAAGAAGCTGTTGTTCACGATGAGATTTTCCCTAGAAGGTAGACACATATATAATAATATAGGTATATTTGAAATTAAACTATTATAAAATTAAACATTAGTAACAGCTTCTAAAGTAAAATCCAATCAGACTAAGCAGTGATTTCCCCCCACTTAACTGCCCATCTTGACCACAATGGTAAAAAGAAATTATTAGTACTTATATAAATAAGCCCGTTTTTAAAAAAAATTTATCTTTACTATTAAATGCATTACAGATGTCCCCCCTTTCACCCCTCATTGACCCCCTCCTCTCCATTCCAACCCCCTCCCCCTAGCCTTTTCTACTCTATTGTCTGTGTCCATTGGTTATGTATACATGCATATACATTCCTTGGTTTATCTCTTTCTGCACACCCTCTTCCCTCTGAGGTTTGTCAGTCTAACAATCAATTTGTACTTCTTAATCCCTTCGCCTTTTTTGCTCATTCCCCCAACCCCCCTCACATTTGGCAACCAACAAAAAGTTCTATCTATGAGTCTGTTTCTTTTCAGCTTGTTCACTTCGTAGATTCCATTGTTGATATGTATATATTTATTGCTTATCTTATTGTTCATATTTTTTATATTCTTCTTCAAGACCTTTCAACATTTCATATAATACTGGTTTGGTGGTGATAACTCCTTTAGCTTTTTCTTGTCTGGGAAACGCTTTATATGTCCATTGATTCTAAATGATAGTTTTGCAGGATAGAGTAATCTTGGTTGTAGGTCCTTGCTTTTCATCACTTTGAATATTTCCTGCCACTCCCTTTCTGGCCTGCAAAGCATGTTTTGAGAAATCAGCTGACAGTCTTGTCAGTAATTAACTGCTTTTTTCTCGGTGCTTTTAAGATTCTCTCCGTCTTTAACCTTTGGCATTTTGATGATGATGTGTCTTGGTGTGGGCCTCTTTGGGTGCATCTTGTTTGGGACTCTTTGTGCTTCCTGGACTTGTATGTCTGTTTCCTTCACCAAGTTAGGAAAGTTTTCTGTCATTATTTTTTCAAATAGGTTTTCAATTTCTTGTCCTCTCTCCTCTGGCACTTCCATGATGCGAATGTTGGTATGCTTGAAGCTGTCCCACAGGCTCCTTATACTCTCCTGATTTTTTTGGATTCTTTTTTCCTTTTGCTGTTCTGATTGGGTGTTTTTTGCTTCCTTATATTCCAAATAAATGATTTGCTCCTCAGCTTCATCTACTCTACTACTGATTCCCTGTAAATTATTTATTTAAGTTAGTGTATCCTTCATTTCTGACTGGTCCAGTCTCGATGTGGCTTCTTCTTTAATTTCGTAGTTGTAGGACTTCCATTCAGCTCGATTTCAGGTGGTTCTGAATGATGGTTGTTCTATAGTTTAGTTGTAATTGTGATGTGGTTGTGGAAGGAGGTGATACCACATTTACCTACGCCGCCATCTTGACCAGAAGTAACAAGCCCTTCTTTCTAAAGAAAAAAAAATTTCTCTAATTGCCCCTGAAAGTTCTTTCATTCATCAATTCTGTGACTGTTTTCTGAGTGCCTCCTACTTACCAGGTAATGTTCTACACTACAGATAGAGAGGTAAGTAAGAGACCCTCATGGAGCTTACTCAAGTGGGGAAGATTACAAATAAGGAGTAACAATTGAACTGATGATGAGTGTTAGGGGAAAAAAGAGGAGAGAGAGGGTCAAGATGATCAGGGAGCCCTGGCTGGTGTGGCTTAGTTGGATGGGCATCGTCCTGGGCACTGAAAGATTGCCCAGTGATTCCTCGTCAGGGCACACGCAGGCTGGATCCCCGGGCAGGGGGCGTGTAGAAGGCAGCTAATGGATGTCTTTCTCTCACATGGATGTTTTTTTGTCTTTTTCCCTCTCTCTCTAAAAATCAACTTAAAATCTTTTTTAAAAAGGGGGTGGGCAGAAAAAGCAGCTCCAAGGAAATGAAATTTGGTCAAAGAGCTGATAATGTGAGGGAATAAGCCATGTGAAAATTCGAGGCAGAATATCCCAGGTGATGAGAACAAAAAGGACAAAGACCCTGAGTTGGAAACAAGCTGTGGCAGATTCAAGGCCAGCATGGCTGAGGTGTGATGAACGAGGCAGACAGCTCAGGAGAGGAAACTGAAGAGGTGAAGAACAGATAAGAAGGACCTTGCACTTTGTGAGTGGTTTGGGGTACAAAGTCGTCGGATAGCTGTGAACAAGGGAGTGTCATGCTCTTATTTACATTAAAAAAATTTGCAGGCTCCAGTGACAAAAAGATTATAGGAGGTAAATTAGAAGAATACTGCAGTTGTCTAGACGAAGGAGTCTGATGAGCTTCAATTATGGTATATTGATGAGAAGTGGATACATTTAGGAAAAAATTGGAAAGTCAAGCTAACAGGACACTCTGATGCACTGGATCTTGAGGAAAGAGGATGACTTGGAGAATGAAAAGAGGAATCTAGAAAAAAATTGTAGAAAGGTCCAAAACCCACAATATTACAAAGGTTTTTCCTTCCAGTGTGATTAATTCACTAATACTTTTCCAGCCAACGCAATTACAGAAGCTCCCTAAAATAATCTGTATGCTTTCAGTCTTTAAATTATTCTGAATGCAAAACAAGTAAGACATATTCTTAGCTAATTTACTGAACTGAATTATGATTAAGCTTTATATACGTAAGTTCCCAAGTCTACATGTAAAATATTTTTAATATTCTTGGAAATAACTTGTCAAAATAATCTAGTAGCAAAATCCCAATAGATTTTCTTTACCATTAATACTTTTTTTTATCTCCCTTCCATATTCAGATTTTTGTTACTATCTATCAGAGGGAAAATACTGCTCTTTAGAAAAGAATTTGCAAATCTCTCTGATATTTGAAAGTCTTTAAGGATACAAAACTTCACACATTGTAATAAAAAAGAAAAATGCTTTAAAGTGCATTATTTTCTGCATTTATCTCCTCAAAGTATACTGATAATTGAGTATAATTTAGCCTCTCTTGATAACTGAGAATCATAGTAGGGTCATTTGTTATACTACACTACACTATAAATTCGATGATTTCCTTAGACTGCCATGATGCAAAGGGATCAGCTTGGTTTTTCCTCTGGATTCCCCTAAACTGCTATGCTTCAGTTGTTGGGATACTCTGAGTTTGTTCTGATCACTATTTATTTCTTTGTTGTTCTGATCACTATTTATTTTGTCTCAACCTTGTGGTCAACTCCCACTCCCACTTCCACCTGAAGTTCGAAAGCATATATCTGCTCAGAAGAACCAAGGGTGTTTCCAGAAAAAAAACTAGATAATTGCATAGCATGTGAAAAATAAAAATGTGTTCTGTACATAAAACTGTCTGGAGTAAAGAATTTGTGTTTTGTGTCACCTGTTTTCATAGAGCTACACACTCTCCAGTTTATTTCTGAATTTGTGGTTCTTAGAAGAGGCTTAATGAGATTAACTGGTTATTCATAATAAGTACTTATTATGTGTAAGGTACTGCACAACCCAGGTTTAAGTTGCCAAATATATAAACACCAACTAAGTGTGGCATTACCGTACATAAAAATACTTGCATATCACATTTCAGTTCCCCATTTCTAAGAAAAAAAAGTATGTGATACTAGTAGCATATCAGGGAAATACTATTAATGTAGTGCTACTTGATAAGAGGCTAGCATTCTTTTTCCTGCACACTAAATTATTCCTGATGCTGGGGACGCATTCCCAATCCACATTCTTCTGTCAAACCCATACTCATTTTTTTTTTTTAATCCTCACCCGAGGACATTTTTGCATTTATCTTCAGATAGAGCGGGAGGGAGAGAGGGGGAAAGAGAGAGAGACGTCGAAGTGAGAGAGACACATCGAGTGCTTCCACACAACCCCAACCAGGACGGGGACAAACTGCTACCGAGGTACATGCGCTTGGCGCAGTGGTTCTCCACCTTCCTAAGGCCACGACTCTTTAATACAGTTCCTCATGTTGTGGTGACCCCCAACCATAAAATTATTTTCGTTGCTACTTCATAACTGTAATTTTGCTACTGTTATGAATTGCCATCGGAAATATGTGTTTCCTACTGGTCTTAGGTGACTCCTGTGAAAGGGTCGTTCGACCCCCAAAGGGGTCCACAACCCACAGGTTGAGAACCGCTGCCTTAGAGGGAACTAAACCCGGGACTCTCTGGTCTGTGGGCCGATGTTCTAACTGCTGAGCCAAACCGGCCAGGGCCATACTCATTCTTTATTATTTATAACAAATATCATCTTCTCCTTTAAAGTTTTTTGGGATTCACAGAATTCTGATGTACTCACTTTTCCTACTATGAATTCTCAAAATATATCCTCTTATTTATTTAATAATCCCCCTACTGCTAATTTACATGTCATATAACAGTGACTTGTAAATAAAAATAATAGTGATAATATAGATGATGATAGAGGTGATTATGATAAAATGATGATGAAGGCAGCAGGCATTGTTCTGAGTGCTTCACAGGTACCACTTCATTTAATCCCCACAACAACCCTATGAGGGGAACACCTATTATTCTCATTTGAAAAATGAAACTTGGAGAGTTTAAATAACTTGTCCAATTCACATACCTACTAAATAGAAGAGCTGAGAATGTGACAGGTGCTTGATAAACATTTATTGAACATTGTACTGTTTAGATGGGAGAAGGAAGGGAGAGATTAGAATATTTAGAATATTTATAGTTTCAGAGTTTGACACTTATGCACACTCAAGTTCATACTGAAACAAATGATTTAGGGAACATTCAGGAAGAGCTCCCTGACTTTACCTACTATAACTGGTTTTGTTATGCCTCTTTATACAATAAAGAATCAGTCTGATCAGGCTATCACTGGGGGGGAAAATGCTCATTACTTACCTGTCTTATAAAGAAGTCTCCATGAATTAGAGAAACAATTCCAAAGTTTGTGTACTTAAAAATGTGATCCATTAACCACATCATTTGAGCAACAACCTAAAATATTAAAAAATAAGAAATAATTAAATGTTGAAAAGAAAAAACCTGACTATAATCTAGACAACTCTTTAAGTATTGAGTACTTTCTTAGAATGTATCATGGGGTATGCAATAAATCAAGTAAACATTTCTACCTGTAAATATAAATTAATACTGTCTTAACTTATTAGGCAATAGGTAAAGATTATAATACTTCCTGCTTTGTATTTTTCAATTACTCTTTTATGAAAGAAGATTAAAAAATTCTTCAAGATTTCAAATTGTTTGGTAATATCAGATCATAAAAAATGTTTAGTATAATCTGAAAACAGAAAAAAAATTACTCTGAACAGAAAAATGAACCTAAGGCAAACTAACTGAAATGTTTTTACAAAAGCAAACAAGCCCACCAACCAAACTTTCTTTTGTCCACATGACTGGAGAATTTCAGGTTAACTGTATCTGCTTAATACAATTGTATTCTATGCCAAACTGGAGTTAGAGTAATAATGTTAGGCATATATATTTATACTGACCATTTGAATCATTCTTTGAGGTTCAAAACTAATTAAGGACACTAAATAATCACTATAAGTATAATTATCATACCAGTAAGAATAAAAATGTTAATTGGGCAGTCTCTTGATACAAAACCAAATAAACTAGCTTTTACAAAATTTTAACATGAATTTAGGGGACAGGAAATACATATTACTAGAAATACAAATATATCTATACGGTGATAGTCTTTTAACAATTCAAGATTCTGAATAGAATAAAGGACAGAATTTATTCCACATTCCAGCAAGTTGATGCCTCTGCTTTTCAGAGAAACAAGAAAAACAGACTCCACAATAAACATATTTTCCTTGACTCTCACCTAATTTGTTTTCACTTCTGACCTAGAATCAAAATCTCTAGGACCTAAGCATACCAGGCTTATTCTAGCCTTGGTATTTGGCCAAGACTGTTTCACTAGAGAACAAGGCCTTACTAAATTTTACTTCTTCAAGGTCAAGTTTATGTCCTCTTCCCTCCACAAAGTTTTCTATAACTATCAAGTACATTGTGAGCTCACCTGCCATCGAACACTTCTCACATTGCAATTATGTATTATTTGCTATACCCTCCCCCTCCCCCTACCACTGGCCTCTTACCTTCTTTAACAGAAGAAGTCTGGCTGGTGTGGCTCAGTGTTTGAGTGTCAACCCATGCACCAAGAGGTCACCAGTTCGATTCCCGGTCAGGGCCCAGGCCCAGGTTGTGGGCCCAATCCCCAGTGCGGGGCATGCAGGAGGCAGCCGATTTATATTTCTCTCTCATCAATGTTTCTATCTCTCTCTCCCTCTAAAATTAATAAAGAAAAATTACTTAAATTTTTTTAAAAAGAGTAGAAAAGTGTCTCATAGGATGGTGTTCTATATTTACAGTCACTGACCATGAATACGAAGCTCTTAATAAACACCTACTAATTTGTTTACTTATTATTAAGCCAAATATTTGCTCCATTAATATTTCTATTTCATTTTCTATGAAGAGACCCTCTTTAACTTCTCCTAAGGTGATAACTCCTTTAAGGCTAAAGATAAAATATTATTATTTTTATTTATTTATTTTTTCTTTTATAAGAGAGAAGAAGGGAGAGGAAGAGAGAGATAGAAACACTGATGAGAGAGAACATCGACTAGCCACCTCCTGCATGCCCCCCACTGGAAATCTGGCCCACAACCTGGACATGTGCCCTGACCAGGAATCGAACTGGCGACCTCTTGGTACATGGATTGATGCTCAACCACTGAGCCACACTGGCCAGGCTAAAGATAATTTATTTTAAAGCCACCCAGTATATAGATCTATTTTAGTTATCAATCTATGCAATGTAAATTAATAGTTCAAACAGAGCCTTAGTAACACTAAATGAAATGAGATTGACATTTTTCCTTTCAATATGCTTTGTAAATAAAATCCAAAGTAATATTTACCTTATTTTCCTTTGGCTAAAGATCCCTAAAATTACTGACCAATTTTACCCTTCTATCTTAAGCAATACTGCTTTTTGTGTCCATATTTCTCAAACTGGCATCTAGCACTTCATCTCAAGACAGCCCCCAATTTAAACCATATTAAATTTGTTTTCATCCCAATTATTTTTTTAAAGATAAAACAGCTTGATGGAGATATAATTCACATTACCCCAGTTATTAGTATTATTTTTTAAGTCTCTATATTCCTCTTCTGGAGTGACTTAGAATTACGTATTTTTTCTTTTATGTTTTTCTAAATTTTCAGAAGTACACATATTAAAGTCTCTGTTCCAAACTATAAGATACTTGAATTCAGTCTCTGTTAACCTCCCCTTTCTGCTGTCCACTTCTGCCGTCAGGATGGCTTACCAGTTCTTTGTCCTGGAGGCACATCATCAGAGTACACACGTCTCCTGTTGCCTGATGATTCACCAACATTACTGCTTCATCGTTCGTAATTGTTTTAATATCGTCCCCCCATTCCACCACTGTCAGAATAAACAAGCTGTCATTTTAAAGACTTTTACATGTCTATAGATCTTACAATTAGAAAAACTGGTATACATTAATGATGATACAGGACCTGGCTAAAACTTCTACAAGTTTATAACTTTCTTTCCTATATAAAACAGGACATTGATATAACATTTTGCGAAGCCCCAAAACACCCATTAAAATATAAAATGGTCATACCTTCTGATCTAGACGTTCTACTTCTTAAAATTTATTCTACAGAAACATTTGTCCAAAAAGGCAAAGATATATGCTTAAAGGATGTTTACTGTAACTTACATGTTCACCAACAGGGGAATGCATAAGAAAATTATGATATAATGGAAGAGTATAACTCCATTAAAAAGAATGGAGGGTATCTCTATACCCTAACCCCAAAAGGACTTGTTATCAAGTAAACAGAGAAAATCATAAAACAGTATTTTATATAGCATGATTACATATTTTAAAAGAAGGAATAAAATTTATGTTATTTAATACATTGAAAAAAAAGTCTAGGGGAATGAATTCAAAACTATTAATACTGATCATCATTAGGAAGTGATTCCCAGAGCCCTCCAAATTCTGCTTTATAATAAAATATGCAAACATTACAAAAATATACTAAGTATCTTCATTTTAAAATAAGAAAATAAAGATGTTCCATTTCTTTTAAATATCCAGACGAACAGTCATTGAACCAAAACCTGTGTGCACTCTCTAAGGAAAAACAGTGGTATCTCCATGAGGTTACGCTTCATCTTATAGTAAATTTTTATTTCACAGAAAAATATAAAATTGAGTACCAGTTTCAAACACTAGTATCCTACAAAGAGGCTCCTAGGGTTTCTCAAATGTCTGACATGAATTACCAGAGGCTGATTATACATTAGTATTCACTTATCTCATTCACGGTGATAAGAAAGGAAGTCAAGCTACCTTTAGGTAGCTTGGATGAAACAGGGATGAGGAAACCTGGAGACCACCTGCTTCACCTCACCCAGCCTCCCTCCTTCCCCAATCACCCTTCACTGTTACCCCAATACAGCTGAGCTCCCAAAATGTAGTGGAGTTCTTCAGAAGAGCTCACTGGAGAAAAGGGTTCGGCTAATTTTTTCTTTCTATCAAAATCCTTTTATTTAAGCAAGGCATCCATTCATTTTAGAGGTCTTAAAATTTTATATTAAGGAAATTTTCAGCTGGGCTGAACATACAGGGTGGGGCAAAAGTAGGTTTTCAGAGGGGGAACACTGCGGGGGCACAATGCAGCAGCACCAGCTTCCCTCCACAGTGCCCGTCCTTTCCCAAGTTCCCAATTCAGTTTGGCTGACAAGCTGACTTTCCTGAAACATATTTAAACACCTACTATATCATACATTGCTGGGGGAGTATAAATTGGTGCAATAGTTTTAGAAGTCAATTTGGCAATATATCACAAAACTAAGAAATGTGAAAATCTTTTTACCCAGCAATTCCACTTCTGGAAACTCATCTTACAGATACACTTACTCGTGCAAAATGACACATATGTAAAGCTATTTACTGTAGCTTTATTTTTAAGAGCAAAGATGAAAACAACCAAAAAGGGAGACCAGCTAAAATTTATAGAAATTGAAAGAATGGTGGTCTCCAGGAGGGAGAAATGGGAAGCTGTTGTTTAATTAGTATAGAGTTTTGGTTTTACAATATTAAAAATTTCAGGCCCTGGTTGGTTTTGCTCAGCGGTTAGAGTGACAGCCCACAGACCAAAGAGTCATGGATTCAATTCCGGTCAAGGGCACATACCTCAATTTAAGTTCAGTTCCTGGCCCTGGTCGGGGTCATGCAAAAGGCAACCACTCGATGTATCTCACATTGATGTTTCTCTTTCTATCGCGCGCGCTCTCTCTCTCTCCTGCCCCCCTCTCTTCCTCCCTCCCACTCTGACCGAAGATAAATGGAAAAATATTCTCAGTTGAGGATTAAAAATAAGTTTAGGAGACTGGTTATACAATAATGTGAATATACTTAATACTGAAACATACACCTAAAAATGGTTAAGATGATACATGTTAGTTATGTGTATTTATCACAACTAAAAATAAAAAAGGAAGACTAGTTATATAAATTACAATATACCTGTGAATGGAATATTATGCAATCATAGCATTTGTATACTAATATGGAATGACATACTATAAGTAATAAAAGCAACACGTAGAACAGTGTGTGAAGGATGCCACCAGTTTGGGTTTTAAAAAAGAACTGAGGAGAAGACACTAAATGAAAACTTCCCATAACCTGCCTCTATGAACAATCCCTCAATGGAGACACACACACTCACACACACACCATTCTTTTATTAATTCATTCTTCACTCAGTAAATAAGCATCAGGTAATGTTAGGTGTTATGGATTCAAAATAAATAAGAACAAAGGTATCATTCTAATAGCAGTTAAAATGCTCAAGAAAAGTCTAGTTTGATTCTATAAATATTAGGCTATGTGGAAAGTCTTCTGGCTCCACATCTTTATAAAAAGATGTCTCATAACCAAATATTCCTTTAATGCAATCTCTGCTACATGAATGGAAAATGCCAGAGCCCTGGCTGGTGTGGTTCGGTTGGTTGGAGCGTTGTTTTGTGCACCGAAAGGTTGCAGGTCCGATTCCCGGTCAGGGCACATACCCGGTTGCAGGTTTAGTTCCCAGTCAGCAACCAACAGATGTTTGTCTCTTGCTTCAATGTTTCTCTCTCTCTCCCTCTCCCTTGCTCTCTTTCTAAAATCAATTTTTTAAAAATGCTTTAAAAAAAAGAAAAAAATATTATATACCTAGGCCCATGCAGTAGGGAGGCATATATGCAAATATATAACTGCAAATAAAAATAAGCTTTTTACATAAAATGTATCTTACCTGTTTGCTTTATATGAAGTAGATAAGCCCAATAAGTGTGTTGGTTTAAATCTCAAAATATAAATTAAATTTAGAACCCTCTGTCCTGGGTTGAATAGTGTTTCCTCATAATTTACATCTGACCAAAATCTGTGAATGTGGCCTTATTAAGGGACAGGATCTTTGCAGATATAATCAAGTTAAGATGAGATATTATTGGATTGGGGTGGACTCGAAGCCTAAATCCAATATGACTGTTATCCTTAGAAGAAGAGGGAAATTTGGACACAGAGGTACTCAGGGAGAATGCCATGTGCCAACAGAGGCAGAGACTGGAGTGATGTGTTTACAAGACAAGGATTGCAGACAATCACCAGAAGCGAGCAAGAGGCTAGGAAGGATCCTCCTCAAGAGTCTTCAGAGGGAGTATGGCCCTGCCAACACCTTCATTTCAGAGTTCCAATCTACAGAACTATGAGAGAATACATTTCTATTGTTTTAAGCCCCTCAGTTTGAGGTGCTTTGTTACCGCAGGTCTCTGAAACTAAGATGCCCCACCCACCTCAATTTTGCTTATCCTTTCTCTTTCTTTTCCATCACAAATTATAGGTTTTTTTTTCTTATCTAATAGAGGAAAGAACTGTACTTTAAACATGTAGAACATTTTAACAAACATCTAACAAATGGTTTTCAATGTTCATTTCTGTAATATTTTCAAGGTAAAATCATTGAGTTGATAAAATACACATATTTCATCTCTCAGCCTAACGTAGCCAAAGTTTATTTTCAAACTAAATGTCAATTTACTAAGACTCACATGACATACTAAATCAAACAAGTAAAGGTAGCTGGATCAACTTTTTATTGAGAAATTATTTGGAAGTAGCAATAAAGTCATGTGGATTTTCTTTTTAATCCTCGCCCGAGGACATTTTTCCCTATTTTGTTCAGATAAAGTGGGAGGGAGAGAGAGAAACATAGATGTGAAAGGGACACATCGAGTGGTTGCCACCCACATGACCCAACCAGGGCTGGGGACAAACTGCAACCGAGGTACGTGCCCTTAGCGGGAACTGAACCCGGGTCTCTCTGGACCGCAGGCCAACACTCTAACCACTAAGCCAAACCAGCCAGGGCTCATGTTGAATTTTTTAATAACCTAAATTTTATTCAACAGTGAATTTAATTTCAATATCTATGGTATTCTTATACTACCATATTATTATATACTTCAAAGATCACTGTGAGAGAGTTATATGACTAACAAAATCAAGATAAAAAATACTTGAAGAGAAAAAGGACTTATTTTATGTATGAGGCAGTTATGTTCTTCACATCATACCCTGCTGTCACAGAACCAGTAAGTAATAATAATAGAGCCAATACCTTGACCAAGGAATAGAGATATTTGCATGTTAAAGAATAGAAGCTATGGATGCCTGACAGTTCTTACATTGAACTTGATTAGAAAAACAAAAATATTTTAACATACTGTTCCATGAAATGAATTCTCAAAAAATAATTGGGTCATGTCCACTATTTCCAAAGGGGATAAAGGCAAACTGAATAAAAACTGAAAGAGAAGTTTTCTAGTTGTAACAGAATTTTTAAAATTCATATTAAAAACCAAAGCCAAAGATTATCACCTAACCTAACACACACACACACACACCCCCAATAAACCTCCCCCAACAGTTATAGACTAGAATTGATCAGGACATTTTACATCTCAAAAAGAAAATTAAGAAAAGAATAATTCATGACTAATTTCTTTTAAAAAAGTGATGCTAGAGCCATTTTACTGACCCACAAGACAGAATTAACATGGAGAAGAAAGGTTGCTTAATACATGACCATAATAACTTATCTTTCTTTTTTTTTCAATCCTCACCCGAGGATATTTTTTTTATCTATCTTCAGATAGAGTGAGAGGGAAAGAAAGGGAGAGAAAGAGAGAGAGAGAAACATCGCTGTGAGAGGGACACATCGACTGGTTGCCTCCCACACAACCTCAACTAGGGCTGAGGACAAACTGCAACCAAAGTACGTGCCCTTGGCTGCAATCGAACCTACGACTCATTGGTCCACAGGCTGATGCTCTACCGCTGAACCAAACCCGCCAGG